GCTCTCTCTCTCTTCGCGGCTGGCCTCATGGTAATGCGCCCTCCATAGGATGAAAATCGAATGAATCTGGCGCTATAGCGTGGGAATATACACTGCCATACTTTTTTTCGTTTTTTTTTTCGTTTTTTTTTTTCCGTTTTTTTCGTTCTTTCACTCCGACGTTCGGGATGCCTGGGCCCGGTAGTCCGAGCCTCGGCACGGATCGGCGTACCGGTCGGCCGAGGCTCGGACTCGATAGCTGGGCCAGGTACTGGTGGTTTAAGAGTGGAACAATACAGAGAAGATTAGCATGGCCCTTGCGCAAGGATCACACGCATGAATGGAGGGGGGGGAAATGTGCATGGGACTCTTCTCTCTCTGCTATATCATGTGTTGTTCTCTAGAGGTTTTCTTTCCTCAGGTGGTGCATTTTTTTTTTTTTTTTTTTTTTTTAAAAAAAAAAGCAACTGTGTTATCTGCCGGAAACCGGCTGCAGCATCCCTCACATAAGAGAACCCACACAGCACTTCTCTACATTATAGCCAATGGACCTTGAGACACGCGCACTGATTGCTGCCCAGCCGGGAAGGATATACCCCCTGCTCATTGCACAATTTCCCTCAATGCTTGACTTCCCTACTTATCTTAGCACTCTTGGCCCCCTTGTTTCCTTAGACTGAGCTTTCTAGATCGGGGTTCCCTTTGAAAGCAACTGAGGGTTTCCTCTCAGTCCCTAATGCCGGGGCTGCCTGGTATGAAACACACCCCAAATTTTGGGTAATCGCCATCGATTGATTGTTAATGGGTGGGGTATGTGGCAAGGCTTAAATTGCTAGTACTTGAGGAGACCCTTCTGCAGTCCTCTGCGGGCCTCCGAACTCATTTTATCGCGAATGAATTCAGCTGTGCACGCCAGGTCCAACATCCTCGAAAGGCCGGTGCGTTAACCGTCAGACCTTGGTCAAGTAATGGCCGTAAACCACCACTGCCGCGTGGCACAGGACCCTCAAATTCTGACTGTGTACAAGGGGGGCACTATTAGGGGACTAACTTGTATAAACCGCTGGGCACATGTGGAAGAAATGGGAGGTTTGGAAATGGTGGCGCCTTCGGTTGGTTAAATCGGAGCCATTAAACGCGGTGCCTTCATTTGTAGAGGGTCCTTGTCGACCCCTCTCTAGCTGGATACATTACCGTAACCAACACTAACGTCTGGCCCATTAAAAAAAAAAAAAAAAAAAACGTCTGGCCCCTTACAACTGCAGCAGTGTTTGCTTCCTTCGAAGGGTGGATGGATTAGCTGCTGTATCCGCTGAAAGTTGGTTAATGGATAAGGCATTATTATAATTTATT